AAGGAGATGGTGAGTGTTCCYCGTGATGAGTATGAGAGGTTTGTCCAATCTACATCTCAGCAGAACACGACTACTTTTGCACACTCAGGTGTGGCTTGTTTGGCATCCACACCCTATCCCTGGATTTTTGACTCTGGAGCCTCCGATCACATGACTGGAATTCCAGGTGTGTTTTCTTCCCTCTCTCATTGCTCAACATCACAAGTTGTTACCCTTGCTAATGGTTCCACATCCTCCATTTATGGTGTTGGCAATGTTGACCTGGACCTTGTATCCCTATCCTCAGTTTTGTATGTCCCTAAATTTCCATTTAACCTTATGTCTATTAGTAAGCTGACCAAGTCACTTAAGCTGACCAAGCTTGGGAGTACCCTTTTGCAACCAATCGAGCCTTCAGGTGCTCGAGCATGGTTTGGTAGGTTCAGTGAGGTGGTAAAGAAGTTTGGTATGAAACAGTGCCAAGTTGATCATTCGTTCTTCAGTCATGACTCTCCAGCAGGAAAAATACTATTGGTGGTGTATGTAGATGATATTGTTATTACCGGGAATGATAAAATGGGCATTGACAGGTTGAAGACTTTTCTACAAGAACATTTTCAAACAAAGGACCTTGGTAAATTAAAATATTTCTTGGGGATAGAAGTAGAAAGGTCTAAGCACAGTATTAATTTGTGTTAGAGGAAATATGTGCTTGATTTGCTGGAGGAAACAGGTTTGTTAGGTGCTAAACTAGCTGAAACACCTATGGAAACAAATACTAAGTTGAGCAGTGATATGGATGAAGTGTTTGAAGACACTGGTAGATACCGACGACTTGTAGGTAAACTGAACTACCTAACCATTACTCAGCCAGATATTTCATTTGCGGTTAGTGTGGTAAGTCAGTTCATGCAGAAACCCCTAGTTCCTCATTGGAATGCGGTTCCAAGTGTTAGACAGTGTATGCCCTTAGCTCCAATCAGAATGATGTACATTATGACATTTATTGTAAATGAATAAAGTACATATTTGATTCATGTTATTATGGTGTGTTTCTGTGTAATACCCTTAAACTGGACAAATATGAGACTCGTGTTAGTTTAGAATCTTCATAGCCGTTGGATAGATCTGGGGAGATTTATCCTGCCAAGGCTGACACTGATGTGCTGCCAAGTTGGTTGGGGTGGCTTGTCTTAGTTGCCAGGGTGAGACCTAAGGTACATGCAGTGTGGGTTTTCTTGAAACCCTGAACCGGACCAGAATTCCAGTATTGCCCTGGACCTTAGAGATTGATGGGCAAAATTGGAATGTTACACCTGACCCCTAGACTCGATTATGATACTGCACTAGGTGTCAGATTGGGCTGCCTTTGATATGCCAATCAGTGAGATCCTTAGAGGGGGTCAAAACCTGGGTATGTTGGGACAGTCCGAGAATTCATCTGAATGTGTGATCATAGTGACAGGATCAGCCCCTTTGTCGGACAAAGGTGATGATCGGGGATGCACTCTCTCTGATGGAAACCAAAAACTGTCGGCAGTTGATTCCAATCGTTGAAATTTGTTTTGCAAAATATATTTATATAGAGATATACATATATATTGTTAAAGTGAGCCGAATAAGGGTAGTTTAGTCATCTTATCTTTGTTAAGTTGTATGCTTATGTGGCAGTTTCATTAGACACTCTGCCCCACACTTAAGTAAGGGCAGTTTAGTCTTTGTAGAAATTATTAGAGACTAATTACTATTAAGGGGTC